GAAAATAATAATGAGTAAAGACTCCAAACCTACCCTGCGATGGACTGGCAACCTGTCCAGGTTATACCCCGCCCGTTTGTCCACAGACTGCTGGAGATATGCTCCAGTTCCCTGTGACCCAGCATGGATAAGCAGATATTGGATAGATAAATGGACTCCAAATCCTGTCGTTTTCTGCCCCACTCTCCTCCGACTTACTTCCTGAAGCACTTTTTTCCACAGAGAAGAACTCACAAGGCTTTCATTCATACCAGAGACTAAAAACTAACAAGGTGACATGACTGTTGTAAATGTGTTTGGGGTTTTAGCCATAACTGTTTATTTGAAGCTGGATGTTTGAAGAAAAGCCGTGAATTTGAAAAACATATGTGGAAAATATAGACTTCAATGGGGGACCACATTGTCTTTTATAATTTACTTTGACCGCATCAGTTTTATTATGCATTGTGTGTCTACATAATGTTAAAAGAATTCTGATATGGCAATATAAATACCTCCTCCTTGAACTGTCACCTTATCGTGGTGGAGGAGTTTGAGTGCCCTAATGATCCTAGGAGCTATGTTGTCTGGGGCACTTAGTGCCCCTGGTGGGGTCTCCCATGACAAATTGGTCTTAGGTGAAGGGTGAGACAAAGAACGGTTCGAAGGATCTTTCATGGCGGTTAAAACTAAGAGTCGGAGTACCCGGCCCGGAGGGTTACCGGGGTCCCACCCTGGAGCCAGGCCTGGGGTTGGGGCCCGTGAGCGAGCGCCTGGTGGCCGGGCTTTCGCCCATGGGGCCCGGCCGGGCCCAGCCCGAACCGGATACATGGGCTCGTCCAACTGTGGACCCACCACCCGCAGGAGGAACATGAAGGGTCCGGTGCAATGCGAATCGGGTGGCAGACCAAGGCGGGAGCCTTGGCGGTCCAATCCCCGGACAAGAAAACTAGTTTTTGACTGAGGGAGCTGAGTCAGAAAGCCAGGCTCTCGATTTACCGGTCGATCTACGTCCCAATCCTCACCTATGGTCATGAGCTTTGGGTAATGACCGAAAGAACGAGATCGCGGATACAAGCGGCCGAAATGAGTTTCCTCCGTAGGGTGGCCGGGCTCAGCCTTAGAGATAGGGTGAGGAGCTCGGACATTCGGGAGGGACTCGGAGTAGAACCGCTGCTCCTCCGGATCGAAAGGAGTCAGTTGAGGTGGTTTGGGCATCTGGTCAGGATGCCTCCTGGACGCCTCCCCGGGGAGGTGTTTCGGGCATGTCCTGCCGGCAGAAGGCCCCCGGGTCGACCCAGGACACGTTGGAGAGGTTACATCTCCAATCTGGTCCGGGAACGCCTTGGGGTCCTGCCGGAGGAGCTGGTGGACAAGGCCGGGGAGAGGATGGCCTGGAGCTCCCTAGTTGGGATGCTGCCCCCGCGACCCGGACCCGGATAAGCGGAGGAAGACGACGACGACGACGACAATATAAATACGCCAATAAATGGGACAGTCCCAGAAAATAGCCAATGCGTGAAAAGCAGCAGGTTATGTGTTTTAGTTGAAATGAGCACAGCACTTACTTTATTCTGAACTTAGCTTAGCAGACTGCATTCACATGTGGGCATCTGTATATCTTCTTCTCTTCTGCATTTACGTTCAAGACCTTATACTGACACCTAGTGGTTACAGAACACAACAGAACACTGGGCAACACAAATTCAGTAAGACAGCTTTCATTTTGATTTAAGCAAGATCTGTATGATTTTGTGTTTTATGTCTGTTAACCACTGAGGAAGATGAGCAAATACAGACATGAATATCAGATAAAGTATCTGGACTTAACAGTCTTAGGATGGGGAGGGACATGTGGTCTACTCTGACCCAGAGCACTGGAGCACCACAGGGATGTGTCCTTAGTCCTTATCTTTTATTATTTTAATTACTGCTTCTTACAGCAAACATTATTTTATTAAAACAATACGTTATTTAAGGGACATCTTTAGTTGCTGTGACAATCAATAACAACAAGGAGACCAACAAATAGGAGATCCTGTTTTGGGTGTTTTTTTAAACAAGAACCATGACATTAACCCATAGGGCCAATGTCTATATTTAGACACTTCCACTCACATCATAAACGATGTTGGTGTGCCTTTTCACAAACTCTCAGAATTACGGGATTTCACCCAAACAATCATCAGAGATCAAGCTAGTCACAGTTTGTGCCATGGCGCCATTCCACCAATCGGTGCAGGGTTATAACCCGACAAATATTGGTGTGTCTGCAGAGCCAGAAAACAGCTCGGTCTCCTCTCGCGTTTACGGTCAGATCTCTAAAACTAACAATGCTAGGTTTATGAAATCTTCACATCACAAGGTTGATTAGTTGTGCTAAATAAGGATACATGCGTTGTAAATGTTAAACTCAATGAAGTTGGTGAAATCTTAGCATGGAAATCAAATCTGCCATATTTAACATACACCCTGAACAAGGAAAATAAATTATGAATATTTTCTAGTAAAATCTGTAGTTTTTAAAGATTATAATCTTAATAATCATGGTAACAGTAACACCTGTTATGATATTGATTGTATTTTATGAGACTATAAGATTTCTCTGGAAAATGGAGGATGGTTATTGCACCAACCAAACTCTCCATCAGTGATAATGATTAACAGGAAGAAGATGACATCGAGGCAGATCCTCAAATATAACGTATTCTAAAATATTCTAATAATCTATATTTGATCACAAATACTATCTATTGCTCAGTAACTTTTCTAAAATATTTACAGTAATCAGTTTTTATAAAAATATCCTATATTGTTTAACAATTGTGATATATTCTGTATTTTTGAACAGTGATATAATGTTCTAAAATCAGCTAGATTATTTTTAAGTGTCTTATAATTATCTATATTGTTCAAAAATAATGTTTATTTAACTTGTTCATGTGTTTTATTTTGGGTTTTCTTTTACAGGAACAGGGCCAACGTCCATATTTGGTCACTTCGTTTTCACTTATTTTCTGCATGAAAATAAATGTTTTTTTGAAAACTGTAACAACAGAAGTACACTTTGGTTATAGACTACAATAACACACTGGGGTTGAAATTTAAATAATTTAAAGACTTCAATGCCCTAGAAAGGGTTAACCCTTTGATGCATATCCTTTTTTATGGTATCTTTCTTTTGTTTTCATGAAATTGATAAAATAAAGGAAACATGATTTCTTGTTCTCATTGACTCTTTGTTTTGGTTTCAACCGTACGCATATTCTGATCCTCCCGCAGGGTTGGCTTTGTGAGCTTCTGCGGTGGAAAGAAGATCCCTGTCCAGAAAACCGCACACTCTGGGAGAACCTGTCCACGATCCGCCGATTCCTGAGCCTGTCTCAGATGGAACGAGATGCCGTCTATGAACAGGAGAGCAGCAACATGACCTCTGAGAGACTCACTCTGCTCAACACTGACAACACACTGGTAAAGCTGCAAAATAAGCAACAATAATCTACACACAGCCAGTGGTACCTTCAGAAACAAGTCTATTCATTAAAGGGTTTGGGGATAAAACCTGTAAGAAAGTACATGCTAGTGGAGTTCCATGGTTTGCAATGCATATATATACATACATTTATATGCACATATTCATAGCGTTATTATAACGCAGACTCACACCTAAAGTGAAGTGTGAGTGTCTGTGAGTGCATAATGTTTGCCGAGCACACCAGTCCTAAAACAGACAAGAAAACAAAGGTTTTCAACTTTAACGTCTTCAAAAATAACGTGGTCAGTATTTTCTTAGTTTCACATATTTCCTAATCATAAAAACAAGCACTTAAATATTTATAGTTTATTTGTTCAAATTCTGTAAAATGTGAAAGCTTGATTCTTGCCTCAGTTAAACCTTGTGCTGATTTCTCTCAACAGTACCAGCACAGCTCCCCAGTGGTTCACCATCACCACATTCAACCCCATCAAACACTGCAGCCAGAACCAGGGATTCATCTGTCTCCACGGCAACCAGTAGAGTCTGAGGTTGGGGTTGCCTGGGGGCACTCGAGGGTATATTTACTGGGTAGAATCAGCTGCAATGGTGAGAAGGGAGACAGTAAGGAATGGATTGAAGGGGAGAAGGAAAACAAGGCCCAGAGTGCTACTGGTAGAGTGGAATGTGACCATAGAGATATGGAGGAATCTGATAAAGATGGCAGCCTAGCAAAGAAAAGCACAGATGTGGTCGAACAAGGCAGTACAAGTGGGAAGGTTAAGGATACATTGGATATGAAGTGGTCTAAAATCAAGAATGAGAACAAGAGGATGGATGGGGTTTGTTCTGAGGAACACAAAGTCGGGGCAGATGAAATCAGATGTGAAGGCCTTAACATGTCCGGTGATGCTCTGGGAATCTTGCAGAGTTTCATACAGGAAGTGGGCCTCAACCCAGATGAAGAGGCAGTCCACACCCTCTCTGCCCAACTAGGCCTGCCTAAATGCATCATCCGCAGCTTCTTCAACAGCCAAGACCAAGGACAAGCCGAGGACTACATTCAGAGTCCCGTGCACAGTCATGACGACCACCAAGGCTTTGTAGATCTTTCGCTTGCAGACTTAACCACAAAGGAACTGGAAGGCCTTGGAAAATTGGAAGAACCAAAAGAAGTGGAAAAACAAGCCGACAGAAAAGAAACAAGAGAGTTTGCACTGAAAGAATCAGATGCTGCTACTCAAACTATGTCTTCTGTGAAGGAGGAGCAGGAGAGTTAACCTCACGCTGAAGCATCACGGACAGCTTGAACAAATGGTCTCATTCGTCTTTCCCACGCTTTCATACTATTTCAAGACAGAGTCACCGTATTTTGATATCACGTAATACCTTCATGTAATTGCACATAAAGAAATCTAAAGAAACTTTAGCCCTCTGGAGGCAGGCGTTGCAGATTAGCAACAGTTAAAACCTACCTACCTACCTGGTTACTCCACATATGTATTTCATGAGCATTTTTTAACTCATAAGTACCCCTGAAGTAATTAGTTGTTCGTCCTTTTATCAAAACTTATTTTGAGCCTGAGAGGGTTAAGCACTTGAGCAGCAGCAAATGCCTGAAAGAGCTGTGCATCCATTCTATGGGTAGAAAGGAGAGCCCAGAGAAGGTTGAGAAGCCCACTCAGAGTGGGTCTTACACGGACACAGCAAAGAAATTCCATAAAACAGACATAAACCATCAGCCCTTGACCCAGAGACCTTTCTGCTGTGAGGTGAAAATCCTAAGTGCCAAACACTTTAATTACAGCTAAAAGTGAACATTTATTTGTTCAAGAGTTGATTTGCCAAGTGGAAAGAAAGCGGTCACACAGAAAAACTGCTTGACTTCATGTAAATGGATGTGACTGAAGTGATGTTTGATCACAAGCTGTAAAGCACGGTGGTGGAGGAATGATGATTTGGGTTTATTTTTCGGCAACATTAAATCGGCCTTTGTAAATAAAAATCTTACATCACATGTGACATCCCAGTACGTCAGTTACTTGCTGCTAACAGTGGCTCCAAATGTCTACAAATCCAAGTTTGGTCTTGTTTTTTTTTCTGACTTCTGGCTAAATTCATCACTTATTTAATATTTCTTGTGTTTTTATTGGTCTTGGATTGAATTGACCTATTGGACAATGAGGTTTTTTATGATATAATAATGTGATTAAATGTAAAACCATTAAAGAAGAGCATGTTTTTATCATAGATTTTAAAGTTTTATTCAGCATCATTATTGCACTTGAGACACTGATAAATAACTGTGACTGTTCAAAGGTTTGTTTGTGTGGATAGTTGATTTAAAAAAAATCAGTAATAGAGAAAATGTCTTAAGCATATTTTCATTTGTGTTAAAACATTTTATTCTTGTTATGTCATTTTTTTCCACAATGTTTTACATTTGCTGATGTGACATCCTGACATTCAGCTGCTCATGTCTCATGATGGTGCAGCTGACAGAGGAGCATCAGTCTGGATTTTATCACAACATTAAAATATTTTGTAACCACTGGTACGACAAAGTGCTTGATTAGGTAATGAATATGGAAAAGCCTGTAAGACATGATCAAAATGGTAAATGGCCTATCTATATAGCACTTTATAGGGTTCAACAACCCCCCAAGGCACTTTACAACATACACAGCACACACGCTAATTCAACTAAGATTTCATTTCAAATGTTTATTAACAACATTGACATGTTGTGGTGCTTGTTAAAAGATTCGCACATTCCGAGGAGGAGCCAGAGCCGGGAGACCTGGGGATGGACTGTCCAATCTCGGGGGCAGAAGTTGCTGAGGTAGTCAAACAACTACACAGCAGCGGAGTCCCGGGGGGTGGATGAGATTCGTCCTGGGTATCTCAAGGCTATGGATGTGGTAGGGCTGTCGTGGTTGACACGTCTCTGCAACATTGCGTGGTCATCGGGGGCAGTTCCTGTGGAGTGGTAGACCGGGGTGGTGGTCCCCATCTTTAAGAAGGGTGACCTGAGGGTGTGTTCCAACTATAGGGGGATCACACTCCTCAGCCTCCCTGGAAAGGTCTACTCCAAGGTACTGGAGAGGAGGGTCCGATCGATAGTTGAATCTCAGATTGAGGAGGAGCAATGTGGTTTTCGTCCTGGCTGTGGAACTGTGGACCAGCTCTATACCCTTGCAAGGGTGATGGAGGGGGCATGGGAGTTTGCCCAACCAATCCACATGTGTTTTGTGGATTTGGAGAAGGCTTATGACCGTGTCCCCAGGGGCACCCTGTGGGGGACGCTCCAGGAGTATGGGGTGGGTGGCTTTCTGTTAAGGGCCATTCAGTCCCTTTACCAGAGGAGCGTGAGTTTGGTCCGCATAGCCGGTAGTAAGTCGGATCTGTTACCGGTGAGGGTTGGACTCCGCCAGGGCTGCTCTTTGTCACTGGTTCTGTTCATCACTTTTATGGACAGAATTTCTAGGCACAGCCGTGGTGTGGAGTGTGTCGAGTTTGGTGGCAGGAGAATCTCGTCTCTGCTTTTTGCGGATGATGTGGTCCTCCTAGCTTCATCCAGCTCTGACCTTCAGCTCTTGCTGGGTAGGCTCGCGGCCGAGTGTGAAGCGGCTGGGATGAGGATCAGCACCTCCAAATCTGAGACCATGGTTCTCGACCGGAAAAGGTGGCTTGCCAACTGCTGGTCGGGAGAGAGGTCCTACCTCAAGTGGAGGAGTTTAAGCATCTTGGGATCTTGTTCAGGAGTGAGGGTAGGAGGGTTCGGGAAATCGACAGGCGGATTGTTTCGGCGTCTGCAGTGTTGCAGGCTGAGCCGATCTGTCGTGGTGAAGAGGGAGCTGAGACAGAAAGCCAGGCTCTCGATTTACCAGTAGATCTACGTCCCAATCCTCACCTATGGTCATGAGCTTTGGGTAATGACCGAAAGAACGAGATCGCGGATACAAGCGGCCGAAATGAGTTTCCTCCGTAGGGTGGCCGGGCTCAGCCTTAGAGATAGGGTGAGGAGCTCAGACATTCGGGAGGGACTCGGAGTAGAACCGCTGCTCCTCCGGATCGAAAGGAGTCAGTTGAGGTGGTTTGGGCATCTGGTCAGGATGCCTCCTGGATGCCTCTCTGGGGAGGGGTTTAGGGCATGTCCTGCTGGCAGGAGGCCCCCGGGTCGACCCAGGACACGTTGGAGAGGTTACAGCTCCAATCTGGTCCGGGAACGCCTTGGGGTCCTGCCGGAGGAGCTGGTGGAGGTGGCTGGGGAGAGGACGGTCTGGCGCTCCCTAGTTGGGATGCTGCCTCCGCGACCTGGACCCGGATAAGCAGAGGAAGACGACGAAAATTTAAATTATACACAAATTTTATAATCATAAATTAGAAAAGTTCTCCAAGTTTTCTGGTTTAATTATTAATTTTCCATTTCAAGTAGAATTTTAGACCCTTTTTGTGTTCATTATTTTTTTTGTTCTTGTTTGAAAAGGAATAGTAATTTTGTAATCTTTGACCAACACATCTGGTGTAATTGGGATCATTTAAGCTTTTGTCTTGCCTGAGCTCAGCCAAGACCAAAGTCTAATGCATCGTAGAACTGCTCCAATTTTTAGCAAATTCACAGCAAATCTTGCACACAAAGTTTAACACACTTGCATTGCTGTTAATTCGCATTACATGGCTATTCCCAACTGTAAACAAATGTTGTAGCTGCGGCATATCCACAGATTGGGTATTTCAGCTGAAAGAATCATATGATGCACATCTAAATGTTTATAAAATGATGCTACAGGAACTCCTAGGAAGATGTTTAGAGAATGGAATGGCTTGTAGAAGGCATCCCCTTATAGGCTGGGTGTTTACCAATTGTGATAATGGGAATTTACAGGTCATATTCCTGTGGTTACTGGGAAGTTGACAGGTAAGTGAGGGGGGAGTAATTTTCCTCATTGTGATGTCACAATGAGGGAATTTTGGAAACCGCTTGTTTTAGGCATACATTTATAAAGGCAAATACTGAGAATGATGGGCCGGATGCGTTTTCTTATTCACGTTCGGAGTGTTTATAGAGTCGGAACAGTATGTCCCCTTTAAAGTGTGCTCAGAGATCTATGACAACATGTTTTGGTGTTGGGGTGTTCTCAGTTTTTGTCAAACGATTTCCTTTTTCTGTGAACGTGTGAATTGGGAGTTGTTATTTTAGCCATTAGACAATATATTATCATGCTTATTATTGATGTATCACTTGATCTGTGGTTTTCTACTGCCACAGGCCCTTGTCAGTATTTTATGTCTTCTATTCCGTGATTCTTTTATTTCATCAGTGGTTTTTCCCTCTTCATGCCTCTATTTTCTCCATCTCTGCCCCTTGATTGTCTCCCTTTGAAACTCCTCTAATCATAGCTCCTTTAGCAACCAGAGAAATTGCACCCTTCCAACACTGTTTGGTTAGAATAGCTTCACACTACTAGCAATCTGTTTCCATGACAATAGTTTGTCGGGGCCAACGAAAGGCCATGAAAGCCTCGTCATCAGTAATATTAGCTATAATAATGATCATAATGGTGCTCTTCAAATACCTAGCCTGGGATAATGATGGTAATAGTGATGGAGGTCATTATTTCTGCCTTGTGTTACCTCATATTCCGGCAAACGCTTGAATATATCATTTTCATTCACATATTTAAATCAGATATGGTCTCTAATAACTAATTCTGTATTGACTTTTTTCTGCTATAACCACTTTGTTGGGATTTGGAGTCAACTGGTAGCATACTTTGATAAACTTGTTTGATAAAAGGCACTGACAGTTTGAGCTACCTTGTTTCAGGTCAAAAATAACTGTAATAGGGAGCTTCGGCTCATGGGTCCCCGGAACAAAGAAAAAAAAAACGAATGCTTGTGAACGGGGCTAAAAAGCTATTTTCCAATCTCCTTTGCCTTACGCCCTGAGTCATACATATGTTGTACATCGATTTAAACTAAAAGTTACTATGTGCTTTGACTAAGTCTGTCACGTAATATAAGATTTATTAGCTTGTAAAATTCCATAATTAAAAAGGCTACTGGTGGACTAGATTAACAGTTCTCTAAGGACTCGGCTCTCATTCATTTTGATGAACCGTTCAAAGGATTTGATTTGAATAGTTGCACTATTTTTAAATTATTATTTTATTTATTCAAAAATAAATGCTGCATGTAGCCCCATGCAGCATTGACGATGGCAGCACAGGAATTAAGTGCTCACTCCGTAATTGGAAGGTTGCAGGTTCAAGCCCTGCTCAGCCCTTTGCTGTCGTTGTGTCCTTGGGCAAGACACTTAACCCACCTTGCCTGCTGGCAGTGGCAGATTTAGCAATTTGGGGGCCCAAGGCGAACACAGACATGGGGCCCCTTACACAAAATTTTCGACAATCTTACCTTTGACTGGATTTGCGAGACTCTCCCCTCTTCTGACATGAGTTATTTTCCCTTTTAATTGGCCCTCCTCTTTTTTCCTGTATTTCCATCCCTTTGAGCGCTTTAAATATTTGCTCTGCTTTCTTTTTCTTGTCAGTGCTCCTGTGCTTTTGCCTTAGTTTTTTTTTCTTCTATTTTCCATTTTGGTCTATGTTTTCCACATTTTCCATTGTCTTTCCTTTCTCCTTCCTTTTGATGTTTACATTGAAAAACGACGTCACTTTCAGAAGTAAAAATAAAAGATTTTTTAAAGCTAGCTGCTTCTTTCTCTTATTGGAGCCACTAGGAAAACTCCATTTCATGCTTAATGTTTTGACTATCGCTTTGAGTTTGTTACAAACGCTCCCACCTCTCTTCTTCTTATTTGGTGCATTACCGCCACCAACTGGATTGGAGTGGAATGACTACCAATCGCTTCCTATTTGTGCATCGCTGTCTTAATAACCCTCTTATGACCATAATTATGACAGGGCCGCCTGGTTTTTTTTTTTTGTGACTGTAAAATTGTAATAAAAAGTGCAAAGTGTTTGTAACTCTTTTCAGAACAACCTCAGCTTTCAGTGTATGGTTTTTAATTAGAATTTATTTATATTAAAGCCTTTAAAAATCAACTTAAAAGTGAAAAAAGCAAAAAACAGATTTGAATGTTTTACATTTATTACTGAACAGGAATTTCTAAATGACTTGGGCAAACAGTTTGTAATAAACGATTCAAACTTTGAACTGTAATGCATCTATTCTTTAAAAAAGTGTGAACCTTGGTATCTTTTTTGTAGCAGTTTTAAGACCATTTATGTTTGTAAACTTTCAGACGTTTTTCATTTGATGTGGTAGACCTTGAAGCAGTTTCTCTCCAGCTGCAGGCAAAAGTCCCACTCTGCACATCTCACACTGCCATGGGGTGCTTCTCTGGCACACTGTGCACTGCTATACCAAAATCTTGTTTTAGCAAAAATAATTATTTATTGTAAAAAGATAAATAATGCTGGAATGAAGCTGAATCTTACAATTAGCAAATAGCCGAGGGTTGTTCAAATAAAATTAAAAAAAAAGACTGAACAAACATTCATACCCTGGTTCACCGGAGATCTGTCCTTCTTCGTGGTCACTGTCTTCAGATACAAGCCTTCTGGGACACCTAATAAATTGTGTTGGTTTTCTTTGAGACATTTCCATAATTTCATGCCGGCTTTTTATGCTAATTAGCTTCCCAGGTCCATTTTACGCTTTCATCGCGGCGCTGCGCTCCGCTGTGCTCCGTTTCAGTCAGGCTTTACAGCAGGATTTCCATAACTCTGATTGCTTCATACTATAGATCGTTGGAAAGCTGCTTTTATGTACTTTTAAAAACCGTTGGATTTTTTGAATCTGATCAGCCATTCAAAAGTTATAAACCGGAGCATTTTGGATGACAAACTCAGCACGTCTCTGAATCTTGTGTTGTGATTCACTGCGCTCAAGACAGGGAATCCCGGTGGCTACCGTAATGTATTGTATATGCACGAAAAGCCCCATCTTTTCAGCGATTTCTATTTGAGTACCCATGAGCTCTGCAGTCACGTGACCAGTCAGCTGATCTCCAGCACATCCGCCTGATCTGCTTGTGTTTACAAATCAGCAGACTGTCCCGAAACACCAGAATGAGGATCCCTGCATGATCCGAACAGGTATTTAAACATAATTAGCCAGTACTTAATTATTAGCACACACATCTCCACTCGTAGCTGTGCTCGCTTTACTCCTCGTCTGCGTGTTAGCACGATAAAGCTCGTCCTACAACTTTGGCTTGTGTCTGTGTGTGACTCGGAAGTAGCGGGAGGCCCGTGTGATGACTCGTAGACGTGCTAACAGCTTGGCTAGTATCATTAGTTCTTCTCTCCTTGTCATCGGAAGTTATGTTCTGCTTCCAACGGGAGCTTCTGCTCTCAGAATGAAGCATGTTTAGCTGGTTTAGCATGGCTTTAGCACTGTTAGCAGCTCCTTGCTAGCTGAGGCTATCATCCGCATCAGTGCGTCACTCACGGCTCCTTCGGCGTCGCGTTTTGATTCAACTATAAACAAACAAGCAGCACAAGTTATAACCCTCCACGGTTAAAGCTGCGGATGAATCATTTCTGTTCGTTACATATTTTGCCGTTTAGCGTCTGAACTGCTTTGTTTGGACCTGGTCGTCTGCCATTTGGTCTGAGGCAGAGCTGTAGCTGCTCTCTCACTACCTAGAGTGTGTGTGTGTGTGTGTGTGTGTGTGTGTGTGTGTGTGTGTGTGTGTGTGTGTGTGTGTGTGTGTGTGTGTGTGTGCGCGCGTGTGCGTGTGCGCAGAGCAGTGATATCTGCAACACAAGAAAAAGCAATGACGTCTCTATCTAATAGGGCTCCACGTGGTTTGGTCAATGTTGAATCAAGATCACAATTATTAATTGCACGAAGAAACACAATCCAGAGTTCACATTTTAAGGAGACTGCAGGCACTGATTTACGTAAGCAGGAGGCAGAGTTGCACTAGTAGTTAATTAAATGACCTAGTGCACTAACATCAGCATAGGTTACCATGGAAAGGTTTGTCCTTATTTGTGTTTGAATGGGTGAATGACTGATGTCTTGTAAAGCACCATGGAAGATTTTGGGACCCGGTATAAATACTGGCCATTTACCATAAAGCATAATTAGATAAATGAAACTTAATTTTTTTTTAGTTGATCATATAGCATTAAGGAGTGGCTACATATGTAACATGTGATCAATCAGATGTGATAATTCCATATAAATGTGAAATATTGACCTGATTAATTTTTGAACGTTTAATCACTTATTTACTTTTACTTATTCAGGGACCATAAACACACTTCACATTAATTCAGACAGAGTCACAAATGACATGGAAGAGTAGTGCTTCTGTAAGAGCAGAGACCTGAATGCTGTTTGAAGCATGTAAGAGGCATTATTGGAAAATGATGTTGCCATAGATTTTGATACAAATGTACAGCCAGTGTCTTTTTCATTCCTTTTTCTGTTTTACATATCAGCAGCAGATATTTTTCTGTGAAACACAAGGTACTTGTTAGTGAAGCCTGTGAAGAGAGAGGAAACCTTCGTTTGAATTTTGTGATCACATTTTGATTTTAAATCTCTGCAGGAAAAGAACAGAAACACCAACTAAGGACTAATAGAATAATATGAGAACAAATGTTTGGAACATTACTACTGCCTTAGCACCACTATATTTTAGTTTGCCTCTTATGCTAGTTAAAATACATTTTCCAGAATATCCCTTTGTGGTTGTTCAAATGTCCAGTTTAGCTCCAACTAGTTGTATAGGTTATTTGTAGCTTACCTAATGCTGAGAGCTCATTCTGTATTTCTGAGGGTCCAAGCTCGTCCCCCGGCTCTGATCATGTGACGTAAGGCTTCTGAGCTCTCGCTGGGCTCTGACGTCAAGGCATGTGAGTTTATTTAGCTGTGGTGTTCCACTTTGACTCAACTGCAGCTGCAGAAAATCCTGACAGCTCCTCTAATCGTTGAATCCGTATTTGTTTTACCCGTCTAACTCATTTGGATAATGCATTATGTTCTCTTATGTTGGAGTGATTTAGTTTTTAAAAGGAACTCCGGCTATGAGGACGTGTATGTCCTAATAAGCCACAAGTTTTCTGTTGTACCAAACTATGTTGTTAGAAACACATGTAGCGTGGTTAATCTACATACTAGGATTTGTTTGCTTCAGTTTGGGTTAGATCCTGAGAAAAGATCGGACATTAGCATATGAACTTATATTATGCACAAATATCTAAGATATTAATGCAATCGATAGAAGTTCATACACTAACTGTCGTGGTCTATATTTTAAACCAAAGATTAATGTTTAATTTAAGATAATTAAATTTAATAGCAAAAGGAATCTTTGCTTATTCAATAACCAAAATATATACACCATTCTGTGTTTCATTTCAAAGAAGAGTCAGGTTTTTAAAAGTTAAGAATTTATTACTAACACTTTTTAAAATGACAATTTGTAACTGACAATTTGAAACAGCTTGATAGTAAAACTTGTAATTAAAAGCTTTACCTGTGAATGAAAAGCTAAAATGAAATGTGAGGTTTTGGATGCGTGAATGACTCTCAGAAGGTTTCTTTCTGAGAGAGAAGCGCGTACTGGGTGGAAAACGTTGTTTTGCAGCTAACTCAGTTGTTTCTTAGAGAAAACCAGCATCGGACACCATCTGGGTGCTACCTCACCCATCAGACGACCCTCTGTGTGGATCCGGAGGTCAAAGGAGGATGTTGTTAGCCTCGGGGTACTCGATCAGGTAGAGAAGACCCGAGTGGGACCGACTCTGGTCCAAAGTTGTCGCAGGGTACACAGTGTCGAGCTTGCGTCTGGCTTAACTCTGAAGGAGTTTTGCGTCAGCTGGTTACAGGTGCGTTTATTCGAAGCAAGTCTATCGGCGTGACAGAATGCTTAGCAGAGACTTGGGCGGCTGTCCCTCGTCTTCTGGTGGGTTCAAGAACTGACTTTCAGCTGCGGAGATTTGATTTTAACAAAACCTCACAACACGCCCTCAGCGTCAGAAAGCTTGATGTCATGAAGTAAGGACGTGAGGAGGTTACCTTTACCCGGGATTCACCCTCTGCATGAGGTGGTTAACGTGCAAATGACCTTCTGGTTTACTGAACACACATTACTGATTATCATAATAATAATAATAATAATTATTACACAAAGCATAATAAATCATTCCATTAATTAAATGCATTTATACTGAACCAAGATGATTATTTATGATGATTGTAATAAACAGTAATAAAGTCAAAGAGTTTATTAAAATTATTATTTAAAAATTATTATTTTAAAATCTTGAAGTGTCCTTCATCTTGGGACGGAACAGCAGCAGATAAAGATGGCAGACATCACGGCTCCTGGGTTAATCTGTGGGACAAAGTTACAGCTCGACCCAGCTTGACCCAGCTGGCAAAGTGTGACCTTTGGTTCACAAATTAGAGGCCATTCATGACGCTACACACACAAAATATTGCTTTTTATTTATAAATCTATAATATTTAGTACGTTTTTGGAGAGTAGGCACCATGTTGGCAGGCAACAAATGTAAACAAAATGAACGGGATCGGCTTGGATTTTACTTTGTCAGAGTTTACTTCACACTTTAAAACCGAAGAAATCGTTTTATATAGTCAGAAATTAAATAGACTAAACATCTCGGACCCTTACCGTGCCCCTGGGATACTTTTTAAAAACGCCAGAAGCTGTCGGAGCGGACTTCTTACCGGACCTGGCTGGGGAACCCCTTGGGATTCCCCCAGAGGAGCTGGCCCAAGTGGCTGGGGAGAGGGAAGTCTGGGCCTCTCGACGCTACTGCCCCCGCAACCCGACTCCGGATATGCGGATGAAAATGGATGGATGGATGGACAAATAACAGATTTACATGTAAGTAGTTTAAATAGAGTGCTTTGCTGTTTGAATGTATAAACTGAACGCCAAGAGAAATCACTAGTCTGATTTTTTTCCGTGAATAAAATAAAAATGTCAGGCAGGAGCGTCTCAGGATCTGGCTGAGATCTGTCTCAGTGAGACACTTTGAAGCTGACAAAAAAACTTACAAAATTTGAGAAAATTATTAGTGTACTATAAAAGATGTGGTCGGTGGAAATTTCTGTTTCAAGATTTCATAAATCATGCATTTAACAGTGCTCAGATGCCATTTCAGACCTCTGAAACGTCTCATCGCCATTCAAAAACTGCTGCACCTATTGGAAAAATTCAAAAAATGTAAGCGGCAGAACGCTTTGGTGGTCATCTGTGTGAATTTTTGTGTGCCCACCATGAATTGTCTAAAAGCTATGATGAGAACATTTTAGCTGTCTGAAGCCGATCGGAGGAGAAAATAGGTGCTTTTATAGGACACACCATGCCGGCATATCGGCGTAATATTACCGCAATAGTATGTCTATAAATGCGCCATGCCGGCACGGTGTTGCGCGAATATTGCGGCATTCGTTCCGCCTCGCTTGGTAATAATATTGCTGCATCTGCCCCTCGCATCTGACTTTTAAACACGTCAGCCCTGCTAATCCCTTTGGAGCGACTGTGGGAGGCTCCCCCGCAAAAGAGGGTGGTCGTGTTAGTCACGTGTACTGCGCGCCGGGTGCCGGCCAGAAGGAAAGCCGGCTGGACGGACGCGGAGACCATGGAGCTTTTGGCCATGCGAGCGGACGAACAGATTAGTCGCCTTTTTACGGGGACGGTGAGAGACAGCCATCTGTTCGACAGAGTGGTGAAAACACTGGCTGAGCGTTTAGCGGGACAAAAAGCAGGTCACATCAAAACTAAAGGTCCTGAAAAAGAAATTTCATCAGTCTGACATGTCTTCCGTCTGACGCTGAATGCACGACCCTGTACGTCACATGCGGGGGGGGGGGTCGGGGGGGGGGGGGGGGGTTGGGTTGCCGCCCAGCGACCTCCCTATATCCCGTCTTGGTTGGAGAGGTGTCTGATGGCAGTATATTCTAGCTTCAGCTTTGCTTCTATAAATGCCAAAATCCTCCCCAGGGTGCCGCAGCAAATCCTGTTTGGAAAACGCTATGGTCCTATAAAAACAGCTAATGAGACAGAGTCAGGGTCTCTCGTCTTTCTGAGGTTTGTAGAGAAAGAACC